CACCTCACGAACGCACCGGCGGATCTCCACCAAATTTGGGGGATCCCTTCAGCTCGAGGAGCCCTCTCAAACACCACCCTCCGCGCGTTGGTAGCCCCCCGGGATCGCTAGATCGGTCGGTGCCGGACCGCGAATTTAACCACCCGTAACTCCCGAACCTATCGACCTATCGGATGGTCTCATTTGAAGGAGGGCCTCGAGATGTACACTTGATTCGCGTTCGAGAGGGTTCCTCGAGCTGAAGGGATCCCCCAAATTTGGTGTGGATTCGCCGCGCCTTTACGGAGATATGGCCGTTCAAAGTTTTAATGGTTTTCCATTTACTTAAGCTTTAAAGCGTTTCATCCAGGTCGCCAGTAGCAAACAATGGAGCGCGCTCTGCTGGACAAACTAAGTAATTACACCATTTCAAGCATTTTATCTGCGTTATATGTTCTGTAAAAAAAAATGTTCATATCGACGGCATTTTCGCCGATACCGATATATCGGCGACAGGCTCATATCGGCCAATAATATCGGCTAAACGATATATCAGTCGGGCTCTAATATTATTACTATTTCCCAACTAAAACTTAAAAAATATGAATAAAATAATACATTATTGACTTTAACATTTATGGCTGAATCTCAGAATAAGGTCAAGGATAAACAAAATTATAAAGATAAAATATATTTTGAAGTATAATTTTAACAGTTATATTATATTTTAGAACACAAAGTAATAATATTATGAATAGTATTAATTATTAATAGAAATAAAATCATTTCCAATCTAAAACTGTAAAATATAATGTAAATTATTGACAATTAATGACATTTACCAGTGAATCTAACAGAAAATGTCTAGGTCAAATTTCACTAAATAAATAAACAAACAACATTTTTCATGAAATATCCAGATAAAATCTAAACAAAAACTACAACAATATATATTTTGTTGTATAGTATAATATAGTTTAACTTTAAAACACAAAATAATATCATATGAATCATTAATTTTAATATGAATAATATCATTATGAACATCTATGTAATGTCATTAATATAATTAGTGTAAAACTGTAAAATATGAATAAAATAACAAATGATTGACCACATTCACACTTTTGGGTGAATCTCACAGAAAGAAATGCCCAGGCCTAATTTGACCCCTACAAAATCTGAAAAAAATAAAAATAAAATACTGTGATAAAAATGTAATATAGTCTGCATTAAATATTCAGCAAATTATTTGAAAAACGTTCAGTAAAGTCCTTTTCAAATAAATCCTCTCTCCTTTCAAAAGAGCATTCAGCATTTGTGTTTGGAGCAACAAAGCTAAAGAAATTGAATTTATGGTACTGAATGACAAAAATGAAGCCAACAATAAAGAGGCTTTTACAATTATTAGCATATTGGTGATACCATTGAAAAAAAATAAAAACGTGGGATTACAGGAATTAATTAGATTGAAAGGAATGTAATGTAACTAAAGCCTTTTGGTTAAATAAATATTTAGTCTCTTACCATTCTTGCTGGGCACCCGGTGCAGCAGGTCGAGCAGAATCTTGTTCAGTCTCACTCTCTGTGCTTCCCTTCTTCCCAGGATGGATGGATGAAGAGGTGAAGAGGAGAGTGAGGAAGAGCAAGGGGCATCCAATGCGTCCCGCCCTCCTCCTCCCCCTCTCTCTCGGGAGCCCTCGTCCGTCTCTCTCCTCTCTTCACCCTCCTCTTCTTCCTCTATGTCTTCCTCCTCCCCACCTGTCCTCCTTTCCTGTGACGTGGATAGCTGGGGAACAGGGGCGCTGGAGTCCTCCTGAGGGGTCTCCATCTCTCCCTCCGCTCCTCTCCCTCCGTCCTCGTCCCCATCTCTGGAGAAGCCAGCAGACAGCCGGTCACATGACACGCTGGGGGAGGGCTCTTCATCACAGGCTGATGCACCTTTGGGCCGCTCGCTCTTCCAGGCAGAGCGGCCGCCGTTCCTCTTGTAGTTATCCGGCACATAGTGAGGCTGTAAAGAGAGAGAGAGAGAGAGGAAAAAAAAAAAAAAAAGTGATTGGAAGCAACTGGCATACATAATTCATGACTGTTTGAATGAAAACTAGTCGATTAAGTAGTTATGAGTCAACAATGGGGGGGAGAAAAAACACAGATCTTTAATCAGATTTACAAACAGTCGATAACACCACTTCCCATCCCATCTAAAACTGTCAAAATATGAGTACAATTAAAAATGATGGCCTATAACAATGTATGGGTGACTCACAAAATGTCAAACAAAATTTCAAACTTAAATTGAAAAATATTTAAATAAACAAAAAGATTTTTACACACTCACACACACATATACAGTAATTAGTAATATTAAAAAACAAAGTAATACTACTATTAATATCAATAAATATTACAAAAAATTCCCATTTAAATCTGTAAAAATATGAATAAAATAAATAATTATTCATAAAAACATTTATGGCTGAATTTCAGAAAGATATGTCCAAAAACAAAAACAAAAACAAAAAAATCTGTAATGTAATAAATCAAATTTCAAATACAAAGTAATAATAGTGAGTTAATATGAATAATAATTGAAGAGTGCCATCTGAAATTTTCTTCTAAAATAAGCATTTTATCAGGCTCCTATATTTATGTTCAGCTATTTCTCTTTAATTGCATAGAAAGGACCTATATATTGCCATTAGAGTAAATTAGAGTAAATTTACTGAACCTAAACATAGGAGCCTGATACAAATGCTCATTTTAGATTAAAATGTCAAATGGCACTTATTATTTTAATAGCAAGTACAGCAAGTAAAACATGAGTAAAAAATATTGTTGTCAATAATATGTTATGGGTGAATCTCAGAAAAGAAATGTCCAGGTCAAATTTCACCCCTCAAAAAAAAATAAAAAATAAGAGAACATATTGTGATATAATGTAACAGTTTATATTAAATATTAAAATGTGAACCATTAAAAGACCCAAAATATATTTTGTGATACAATATAGCCATATTAAATAATAAAATATCATATTTTAAATATTTTATAAAAAAAAAAAACTTGCTACGTGTACTGCATTAAGCTACCTGAGACTTGTTATAGCACTTGCATATCATAGCTCTTTTGTTGATTTTGATTGCTTCCATTGTCCTCATTTGTAAGTCGCTTTGGATAAAAGCATCTGCTAAATGACTAAATGTAAATGTAATGTAGATATTACACAAAATAATATAATTAATGTTGTCATACAAAAAATCCTCATGGTTCTAAAAAATCCTTCTTATTTTTTCACTTCTTTATCAGTTTTGTGAGATTCCTAGCTTATACAACTACTCACTGAGAAGTCCTTCTTCGGTGTCAGTCTTTTGGGGAAGTGGTTGAACGCATAGGGCTTGGTGCACACTGGGTACCGGTTGCGGTGGATCTTGTAGAACAGGTGTGCTGATTTATCCAGCCGGTAGTCACAGATGTAAACGTCCTGTTCCTTTACCCCTTTCGGACGACCTGAATCCATTAGCGAGAGCATCAGGCATTAGCATGCAAAGCGTATGGTGGTTTTCATGTTTTCAGCATGTAACATCTGGTTCAGTGCATTTCTTGGATCTCACTGTTGATTTGTTTATGTAAAACTGTTGTACGTGTGAATGTCTCACCCTTGCAGTAAGTATACAGGTCCAACACACAGCATGTTCCCACCACCGCCTCCAGCGGTATGATCTCATACAGAGGCACTCGGAACAACTCGTTATGATAGAAGCGGCGGGAAGGAGAGTGGTGCGTCTCATGGGGACGGAAGTAGTGATGACCAAAGGCAAACCTCTCACCTCTAAAGAGAGAGAAAGTGAGTCGAGATCAAATCTAAGGTCCATGCGATTTAGTGAAGACATATTCCTTTCAAACAATCCCACCTCTACAACCAGAAGCTATTGACAGGAGGATAAGAACTTTGTTTAAGCCTGAGCCTAACACCGTGTCCTAACTACACGCGACGCGACGCAACAAGATTCCAGCGACAAGCAATTTGGCTGTCCACACTCAAGTATAGGTCTCTGCAGGAAAGTAATGGGAGTCACCAGATCGGGGCGTTTTTAGACCATGTTTCCTGATTGGCTGACGTCATAGTGACGGTAGGTTTAGGGGGGGGGTTAGGTAAGGGGGATCATTTTGATTGCATGATTGAGAAGCACCCTGCAGTTTGAAAACACCCACAAATTCAGAAACGCCCACTTTTGCTCTGCAGAGACCTCAATCTCTCCACACTAGACGTGACGTGACAGAATCAATCAAATATCACAGTCAATCAGAAGCGTGTGTGGGCGAGCTCTCAGTTGAAGCGCACTGCTCTTGCAATGAAATGGATACGTTTATAATCTAATTCATAAATATTAGGAATACACTCGTTTTAACGGTCATCTTTGCTTTAATTTATTTTCAAGATCTGAGGTAAACGATCTATTGTTGCTTTCAGTTTGGCTATAAGGTAACGCAATATGATATTTCAACTCATATTAGACACGTTTAACTTTGAATAAAGCACATAATCAACTGAGATGATCTACTCTCATGTTGTTGTTGCAGCCGCGACCTCGCGGAAATAGAAACCGTTTCTAAATTAGAAATTTTGCGTATCGGCGTCGTGGCTAGTTAGGACAAAACCTCCGATTAACATGGAAAAGATACCTTTTATCGCGTGTCACGGCATCGCGTCGCGTGTAGTTAGGACACGGTGTAACCTTTACGCTAAACATTAGGGTGATAGGAATGTTGTTCCATGGTCAACAGGAATGTCAATGCTTAATTCTGAATCAAGAGTGCAAATAACTATTTGAATACGAACGTTTGATAGCACTTTAGTTTAGGGACTAATTCTCACTTTTAACTAGTTGCTTATTAGCATGCGTAATACTAGCATACAGGCTGTTTATTAGTACTTATAAAGCACATACAAATAACCCCAAAAAGGGATAGTTCACCCAAAAACGAAAGTTCTGTCAGTAATTACTCACCCTCATGTTGTTCCAAACCTGTAAGACCTTCATTCATCTTCGGAACACAAATTAAGATATTTTTGATGAATTCCGAGAGCAAAGAAAACAAAAATAATGACTTTATTCAACAATTTCTTCTCTTCTGTGTCAGTCTTTGCCGCGCGTTCATGAGAGTACCAGGATGCAAGCGTGTGGTGCTGCTGATGCAGGAAATTGTTGAATAAAGTCGTTATTTTTGTTTTCTTTGTGCACAAAAAGTATTCTTGTAGCTTCATAATATTACGCTTGAACCGATGATGTCACATGGACTTTTTTAACAATGTCCTTACTACCTTTCTGTGCCTTGAACGTGGTAGTTGCGTTGCTGTCTATGGAGGGTCAGAAAGCTCTCGGAATTAATCAAAAATATCTTAATTTGTGTTCCGAAGATGAATAAAGGTTTTACGGGTTTGGAACAACATGAGGGTGAGTAATTAATGACAGAATATTCATTTTTGGGTGAACTATCCCTTTAATCAGGGATTAAACTACCCTTTAACAACTACCTTACTAAGTATTAATAAGCAGCAAATTTGGAATTTATTGAGGCAAAAGTCGTAGTTAATAAGTGTAGTGAATCTCACTTTTCGTTTTTCCAGAGTTTCTCAATACGGAAGATGTCCAGTTTGTCTCTGTTGATATGAGACAGGAGACGGTATGACTGACGCACCGGCTGGCCTTCTGTAGTGCGTCTGCTGTCTCTCATGAGGTACACACAGTCACCTGCAACAGCCACACGCAAACATAAATAAACCTAAACACATCTAAACCAAAATATTACAATATACACTACAGCTGGAAGTTTTTATAAATATGTTTGAAAAATGTCTCATGCTCAGCAAGACTGCATATATTTGATCAAAAACACAGTAATATTGCGAAATATTATTACAATTTTAAATAACTGTTTTCTATTTTAAAATATTTAAATATTATAATATTTAAATATTATAAATTGCCACTCAAGAAACATTTCTTCTGAGTTGTACTGCTTAATATCAATAGTTGTAACAGTTGTACTGCTTATTACTTTTTGGGGATTCATTGATAAACAGAAAGCTCAAAAACAGAAATATAAATTGTAATATAAATATCATTATTGTCTTTTTATCTATATAATGTTTCAATAATATAATGTTTAATTTCTTAAAAATAATAAAATAAAAATAAATACTGACCCCAAACTTTTGAACAGTAGTGCAGATTTGATTTCACAAACACACACACACACACATGCACTTACCCTGATGCAATAGTAAGTCATCACGAAGCAGGCATATATAATAGATGGATCCTGACTGGGCATAACTGGGTTGGGGCACCATTGGGACCTCCTGTTGAAATATGACAGGAAATGCATAAAAGATAAAAACACAAAAAAAGCTTTCAAAAGTTCCAAACATCCTGAATGACAGAGTAAATCTTATCCTGGGGTGACCTTTAAAATGTTGTGATAAGAGACCATATGGCCGTGCTAAACATAGTCAGAGAGGAAGAAAGAATTGTAAAGTTACACAGACTGAAAGGTCACATACCCTGTCCACTGGACGAGGGTCACACTGCTCACAGAGATAATGCTCCACATCGGCCTCCAATCGCATACAATCACAGTGCTGCCACACCTGACAGACAGAAACAGAGAGATACCTATTACCTATACTTACCCCAATTACACATGGTTTCAAATCATTGCACAACATATTACATGAACAACATGAATAATGATAGAATAATGAATATTTAAATTAGTATATTAGCCTGTGGTTTTATCGTTACCTAAAACTAAATGTATTGAAAATCATTTTATGGTAACTGAAATGAAGTAGAAATAAAAGAAACTATAAATATTAGATGAAAAACAAACTTGAATGGAAATGAGAAATGTTGCCTTTCAAACTGCTCTAAATACAAGTTTAGGTTGAATTACTAAAATTACTAAAACTAAAAATGAAATAAAAGTAAAGCTAATTTGAAATATTAAAGAAAAAATAATAAAAACGAAAAAAAAAAAAAAAAATTCACATAGCAAATTTAGACATGATTAACCAGTAGAAATGTGTCAACCGGTAGAGATTTTAGACCATCGTCTCTATCGTGGTTACACGCATATGTGACGTTGTGGCTGCTGTGCTACATGGTCGTGAAAACTTACCGTTTGCATGCGTTTTTAAGCATTGCATTTTACAAACAAGTGATTTTAAGCCCTTGAAATGCAATCAGCAGCAAAAAAGAACTCCTTTCACTATATGCGCACGCTGTCTGAGAAACTGTTTCTGAGCGCTGTGACTGTCAGAGAGGTGCGCGCACATGAATGCAGTGCTCATAGAGCACGGGTGTATTGAACGAGTTATTTTTGCCACTTTACAGGTCTTGAATGGTTAAATACACACACTTGTATATGACAAAATTCCTATCTTTGCAAGTATCTTCGTAAACACAGTAGGTCTTAAGTGAAGGAAAACAGCTGCGAAAGAAAACAAGTAAAACTATATTGGATCTGGGCAGCTCTTAAAATGACAGCAGTCTAATATTTCCGGGCAGCTCTTAGAAGTGACAGCAGTCTAATATTCCTGCTGTCTGTCATTCATGTTAATCAAACAACAAAAGAGAGAAAATCTTTCAGTGCTCTGTCTTGACTAATCACTTTTGTAACTTTAATAAAAAGAGAGATATATTTAATTTACAGTGAAGAATATGCAGGTTTTTTTTAAACATCTGATTACTTTATACAATGTAGCATTTCTCAATAATTTGTTCCACTGTAATTTTTTTGTCCTATTGCTTGTAATTAGTTCCTTATTCTTAATTACTGACTGTTTACTTGTCTTCGGTGAGCTTGAGTTTTTGTTTTTATTTAAGCTGGTATTATTTTTTTGTGATACTGACACTGATGACAAAAAGTATGAAATTTCTATGGTATCAAAAATGTCGATATCATAAAAACCTTATTAAAAGCAAAAATATCTACATCATGATATATATTGTTACCGTGAAATAAAAATACTCCCATCGAGATATAAGATTTTGGTCATATTGCCCACCCCCAGGATGTTGCAATGCAGCTGGTATGGTGTTCTAGATGGTTGCTTTTTATGACAAGTCAAAAGACTGTATTCCCAAGCCTCTTTAATATTCAGGTCCCTAGATATGAAATCTGATCACTCCTTGCCAATTTTACAGTCTACCAGGTGAAAATCTTTAGTTTGGTCAATTTGAAAAGTAATGCCACAGAGCTCTCCTCAACAGGGAGATTAGGAATTAAAATCCCTAATCTTAAGTATGAGCACATACCATGCACTTCTCACACTGGATCATGAGCCCCTCATCCTTGTACATGCCACAGATGCAGCGGATCACATCATCGTCTTTGTCATGGCTGCCCCCTCCATCATGGTGATGGTGGGCGTGGTCTCTCTCCAGCGAATCAGAGCTGTCGGCCTCACTGGCAGTCTCGCCCACAATCTCATCAATCTGAACCGCAGCCTCATGACGCGCACCGTAGTACGCCTTTCTCAGCCGGCACACGTCACGACCCACAGCAGACTTACGGCCATAATATTTCTGTTGAGAATAAGGAAAAGTACAAGAGAGATTAAGGAAAGTAATGCAGAATATGCCAGAGAAGATACTTTGAAGTGATTTCGACATGTCCAATTAACTGTGAAAAATATAAAATATTCATCTTTGTCCTTATTCTTTACTATTTCTTTGTTTTTTTATTTAAAACTTTTTTTAATGAGGACAAAAACACTGAGTGCACCGATTGTCCACTTGTTTATCACTTATTTATTTGTCAAACTCTGAGTACTTCTTACATTAACTAAAATGATTTTATTAACTATAGTTCTTTTCAATATCATTACTTATAATGACATCACAAAGACATCATCATACATCAGTAGGCTATATCATAGCCTACTATAATCATATTTGTGAGTAGGGGTGGGTAAACACACGTGTAACAGTATATTGGATGCGGGCAGCTCTTAAAGTGACAGCAGTCTAATAATCCTGCTGTCTGTCACTCATGTGACAGAATGTAAATTTCTATAGTATCAAAAATTTTGATATCATAAAGACCTTATTTAAAGCAAAAATAACTATATTGTGATATATATCGTTACAGTGAAATAAAATTAATTACTCATATCGTGATATAAGATTTTGTTCATATCGCCCACCCCTATTTGAGAGCAATGAGTATAAGAGAAGTGGGACTAACCTCAGCATTACGAAACACTTTCAGCATGTCCGAATCAAATGCCTCGACGGTTTTGTAGTGCCCAGTGAGGATCTGCTTCTCTATGGTACTGAGATCTAGCGGATCGGTGACCTTCTCATAGTACTGTATGTTCCTGTTGACCCATATGGACATATCACAAAAAGTAAGTATAGCCATGAAGGATGAAGATGTTACAGTGACCATAAGACACATCTTTGATTGTTCTCACAGCAGTTATTAATACCTCAGAATGTTATAAGAACCATATTTGCAGGTCCCTGACAACCTTTGTAGACCCTTTAACTGCACCAAATATTTAAAAAGTACATATTTATATAGTAAATAATCTGTACTAAGAATATAATATTGTTCTCACCTCTTCCTAGAAGGTAGGTTAAGCAGCGGAGCAGCAAGAGTCTGACCAGTTGAATCTTCAAAGAACAAGAAAGCAACTGATTATGTGAGAATGCATGTCATATGCAGTGTGTTTAATTGAAAGTAAGTCTCATGACGCTGAGGCAATAAAACAAAAATGCACTACAATTAGATTGAAACTGGAATCAACATTCTAGATGAAATCAAAATCAAAGCTTTTTGCAGAATCGCATAACACACTAATTGAATTTTGCATAACTAAATCATTTAAAATGAGATTTCCAGCAGAACAAACAAGTAATGAGTGTCAGCACTTGGTAATAAGTTCACAACTGATTGCAGTCTAGACAACCGACTGTCTCACAAACTACAAATGCATGTCAAAATCAATGTCTACACCATGATTATATGACCTTTGCTTCTTGCTTTGCATAATAAAAATGATTATGCAGTCATTAAAGTGACTGCCAACAATAAGATCAATAGCAAAAACTGTTTTTTTTTTTTATTTATTTTTTTTAAGTATGATGGTGTTTGTGTGAATGAATTAGTGTCTGTTTACCCTTGTAGCTTGTGATCATGTCACATATCTCCTTGAAGATGTGTGCCAGGCGTGCAGTGCGTGTAACTTCCGTGTTCTCCTCGGCTGCCGCAAGTCTGCGTGTGCGCACAGAGCGTGATGTCTGCAGCGCTGAGAACTGAGTCAGAAATACATCTGGAAAAAAGCAACACACAATGCTAATCGTGCAACGTTTACCTGAAGTCTCAAAGCAGAATAATGACACTTGAGATCAAGTTGATGAATTGTGCGCATGTCCACACACCTGACTTGATGTTGCCATCATCGCGGATGACTCCTCCCCAGCGTGTGTAAAGAGACAGACCACTGTTCTCCCTCTCTCGCTCTCCTTCTCGCTTCAGAAGTTCCTGTTTCTCCCGCATCTTCTCCCAATTCCGCAGCAGGAACACTCGATGTTTCAGCACAAAGTTCCTAAATTCAACAAGAAACCAGCAGAGGATGTCTGAGTGTGAGAGACTGGTCTATTATATTAGAGGTCGTTTCATATAAAGTCACTCCGTTTATTTCAATGTGCCAAATGTAAAATGAATGCTGTTTTTGTTACAAATACATCCTCTACTGGTAATTGGACTTGCAAAGCGTGTAAAATATGACCCTTTAAAACCAGAAAATAAAAAGTGTTTGATGGCATCCTACCTCTCTCTGTTTGACATAGGCTTCATTAAAAGGTGCTGGTAAAACTTGCTGCTGTCACTGGACTCTTCCTCCTTAATGGTCAAATACAAAATAATGGTTTTGCATTAGGAAAATGTTGTACTAGCAGCTACTGTAGCCAATAGTAGTGCATCATTATTGAATGAACTGTGTCATACCCGTTTCTTCAGTGAGTGTTTGGACTTGCGTTTCTCTTTCAGTCTCCCCAGCCTCCGGGCTCCGCCCCCTGATCCGCCCCCTTTCCCAGGCAGCCCATTGATTCGCTGGCTCTTGCCGCCAATGATGCCACGGCAACCCTCTGAGCCACACTTGCAGACTTGCTGCATAGCAACAAGAGCAGAGAAACATTATCATTTGGCAAGCAAGAGGAAAATGTTAAACATCTACTACAGGTCCAATCCACCAGCATATCAAAAACCTGATGTTAAAATGTTAAAAAAAGAAAATTAAATGTAAACTATCAGTGGTAATCAACCTTGTTAATGTGAAATATTATAATAAATAAAAATAAAAGCTTAAAAAAAAAAATTTCTCAAGTCTTCTAAACTCTGTGGCTGAAGTTATTAAGCAGCTGAGTGATTGAATCAACACCACCGATCCGGACGAATGAAGTACAAGCATCCGCTACAAAACACAGCTGCATACATACACACTGTGCATGTGTATGTACATGCTTCAGACAGGCACGTTCCTGACATGCAGGATACGGGTGGCCTCAACTCTTCCAACGTACCTGTTCTTCTGTGTTGAAGGAGTGGAAGTTGTAGTCATATGTCAGCTCTGTTCCGCTGTTGACGTCTTTCAAAGCAAACAGACCAATACGGTACACTCCATTCACCGACCTGAAAGAAAGACGGACAGACTGATGATTTAAACTCAACTCAACCTTAGTCAAGTTTCTAAAGCAATAATACAGAAAGCTGCGGAGCATCACTACTCTAGTCTTCAGTGTCACATGATCCTTCAGAAATCATTCTAATATCCTGTTTTCTTGCTCAAGAAACATTTCTTTTTTATTATCAACACTGAAAACAGTTGTTCTGCTTAATATTTCTGTGGAAACCGTGATACATTTTTTCCAGGACTCTTCAATGAATACAAAAGAACAGCATTTATTTGAAATATGATTTTTTTTGCAACAATGTCACTTGATCTAATGATCTACTGTCACTTTTGATCAATTTCCTGAATAAGACTACTATTTTCTTTCCAAAAACTGTTGAACTGTAGTGTAATCATGTTAAATGCCTTGTCTGTCTTACTGCTTTAATATATTGTAGCTACGCTGCATATGAATGTTGAGCCTCGAAAGCAAATGAACTCAAGCAACATCAAGCATTCTGGGCTTGATACTGAACACCTAGGCTGAGTTGTACATTATGCAATAAGGTAGAATGAGGCCATTTTGCCACAGATGTGGGTGTGTGTGTGCTCTAACAGCTAACCACTGGGCAGCACAGCTGTGTCCCCCACCCTAAAACACAAGCTATAGATAATCGCTCTTCTGTGACAAGATGGATGATCTGCCACCATCCAGCCTACAAGCACTGTTTTTAATGTGTGTATGTGTGTGTGAAAGAGAAAAACGTAGACAGAGTAAGAGATGGAGGAGATTACATTTTTCTGTGGACTATGTGTGAACACCAACACCTAATGTGTGTGTAATTGTGTTATGGTACCAAGCAGATGTTGGTCACTGACCTGGATCTTGAGTTCACAATCTCGTTGCTAATATATAATCCTTCAGATTTTGACTAATTAAGCTAATTTATGAAACAACAGTTTCAACAGCAGTGACCTCTTCCTCTTTAATTTGTTCAACATGACCATGGTTTGTTCACAATACAGCAATTTCTAAAGGATAAAGTCATTGCTCATTCAGTACTTGTGGTCGTCCACGTCCCCAGTGACTCATCGTTAAAAATGACCTTTCTGATTCAGAACATCAGAAGCTGATGGAATTTTATTATCGTACTTCTTCAGTGACTCATCAACGGTTTTGTTTTACTCACCATTTCTGCATCTCACAGTTGGGCTCACAGCTGTGGTTGACAAAGCGAGCCTCGTTGCCCATGCGGTAGCTGTCGATGACCATGCCGCTGTCCAGGTTCAGACAGTAGTGGCCACTGTGGGAGAAGTACTGCTCCATCATGCGACTCCTAAACACAAAACAGACTTGCTGAATGTATGATAATATTCTTCAGAACAGCAGATTAAACAATCAATCAAGTAAAACTAAACTAAAAGTATTTCCCGAGTCCTGTCAACTCTAAACGGTCCTATCATCATGAAGTCAAAAATGCGAAGAAGTCAAAAACGCGAAAAAAATAAAATTAATTAAAAAATAATAATGCTGTAAATAAGTTCAGTTTCTTGCACAGACCAATCGTTTTGCTTCTTAAGACCTCAATATATCGTCAGGAGCCATGGGTTTTGGGTATTAAAGACGGGCAGCCGCTGACTTGCATTTTATGAATCACCAAGGTTTCAGCAAAAAATCTTCTTTACTGTTCTACTCAAGAAAAAAACTCGCCTACATCTTGGATGGCCTGAGGGTAAGTAAATTAACAGCAAACTTTCATTTTTGGGTGAACTATCCCTTTAATAGTGCAATGTAGTTGCTACCAAAGTCTCTTTAAGACAACTCATATCACTCGGCGGCCATCTTTGAAACGCCTCTCGGGCAACTCCTATTTCTTTGAATGGGGAAACAACAAATTTTCCAAAACTGTTCATGAAGCTTGCGATTAAATTTCATATTTGAAATCACCAAAGAAATCTGACGACAACTGACAAAAATCTTAAATGTTGTTTATTTTGCTCAAATAGCATTATAAAAAGCGTATTATTTAGGCTAGATCAGCCAGTGCGCATGCGCAGTCCTAAGCGCACATTTTAGAGCGCTGACTGTTTCTATAGCAACCGGGACTTCTAACGGCAGCTGCAGTGACATGCGGACTTTACCGATTAGCGATTGGCTCTTTCATTCAGAAGGCGGGCCTTCTTGCGATTGAGCGGCCATATTGAGCGATGCATTTTTCCCCATTCATTTTTCCGTTGCATTTTTCCCCATAGCAACCAAGTCTTTGGTTGCTACCCTCTAATTCTTAGTTAGAATGTTTTAAATGCTTATATCTTTGTGCAATTTTGTGCATAGTTTTAAATAAACACTATTAAAAATGGTAGTAATTTAATTATCTTTTATGTATTTTTTTAAGATATTGTATTTCCAGCTGTATTAAACATCACATATGTTCTGATGGTTTGCGATTTTGTCGATGTGATTTTGCTCTGACTTTGTGGCAGTATTCTGCTTTAAAAAGAAAACAAAATATTATATTCAACGCAACATATAACTGAAAAAAAATAAAATAAATAAAACAAAATAAAAAATGTAATTCCTGAAAAGGTTTATACATAGCATTTGAGCTTCACATTAAATCGTTCAGGAGGATCCACCGACGCTCAGCACAGTTCGAACAGTTCGGACATTGCGTGAATCAGAGGTAAAAAACGATATAAATGCTGTTCAGTGTCTTGCACAGAGCAATCGTTTCGTGTCTTTACACATCAATATATCGTCACGAGCCGCAGGGTTTAATTTGGTTTTGTTTGTGTATGTTTTTTT